ACCGGTGCCATTTTCAATGTAATTTTTCATAAATTTCCTTATAAAACACGATTAGTATTAGGTTCTATCTTCTTAGTTTAAATATCCGTGTAAAACCCCTTCGGGAAACCCTTATAAAACGGAAAAACTTGGCAGCACTGTATAGTTTTCGACGATTTTCTACGATTTTCGTCATTTACTTATTTATTGGCTTAATTTATGACTTACGCAATGCGGCTGATTAATTCTTAAGCGACTTTAAAAAAGTGCGAGATTATCAATTCGTTGGAATATTTTGTTTTATATATGTCACCGCATAACTTTTGACCATGTTAACCGATTTCTATAATTTTTTTTTTTAAGAAGGGTGCTCAGAGGTGGTCCCATAAAAATTTGGTTTAGATCCGATCATTGGATCATGAAGAAGATAACGGTACTTTTAAATTTTTATGTGAGAATTGAAGTCTGTTTTGTTTTTAACCGACTTTCAAAAAAGGAGGAGGTTATCAGTTCGTCGGAATATATATATATATGTTTTTATGTATGTTACCGCATAACTTTGGAGCACGTCAACCTATTTCGATAGTTCTTTTTGCATCGGAAAGGTAGTGTCCCAGAGNGTTTTTTATGTATGTTACCGCATAACTTTGGAGCACCTCAACCTATTTCGATAGTTCTTTTTGCATCGGAAAGGTAGTGTCCCAGAGGTAGTCCCATACCAATCTGGTTTAGATCCGATCATTAGATCATGAAATATATATATATATATGAGAATTGAAGTCGGTTTTTTGTTTGCTAAAAATGACTTGTTTGCTTAATGAATAAATAAGCATCTGTGCCTACTGATTTATCGCAGTATNTATTTGCTTAATGAATAAATAAGCATCTGTGCCTACTGATTTATCGCAGTATATGTATATCTGCCAAATACCGTTACATGGGAGGTAGGCGTGGTTATTGTCCGATTTCGCCCATTTCAATACCATCCGCCCTTGGCTCAAAAGAAATTCGTTAAGATATCTAAAATTTTACTCGAGTTATCGTCTGCACGGACGGACGGACGGACATACAGTTGCGACATTATAGATTTCTCTTTTCATTCTCAGCATTTTGGTATATATATAAGTCTAGATTTATTTCGATTCATTTACAGATATTAAAAATCTCTGCTGATAAGTGATTTGTAGATGATTGGAATGGAAAGTAATAACAGTATTTTAAATTTATTTATTTATTTTAAGATTTTATTTTTTTTAATTCCTAAAATTTTAATTTTTTCGAATTTATTTTCCATTTTTAGGTTATTTTTAAGAATTATTAAGAGCATTTTGTAATTTTTTAGGATCTTTTTTTTTCTTCACTATGAAGAAAATGGGGATAAATATTTTCCGAGGTATGCGAAGATTACACAAAATTTTAAATAAAAATTATTGCGCAATATATATGAAGCCATGATCTAGCGCGAAACTCTGCATTATTATCTCAAAAATGACATTATTTGAGTTGTGACAGTCTTTTGATAACTAAGCGATATGTAGCTGCATAAAGGTATTTCAATTTTATGTGCCGTTAAAGATTAGGTTTTCTATTAAATTGCATTGCATAGCACACGTAGAAGGCGGCAGAAAGCATATATTTTTTTTTTAAATAAAAATAACACATTTTGGTTAACACTTGCGTAAATTCTTTAAATTAGCAACTATTTAATTAAGCCTAAATTAAGTTGCGTTAAGTTAAATACATCTGTAAGTGAATAAAAATAAAAATGAATAATTGTGATGTGTTCGTTGCAGGTGTGCACATTTGCTTGTAGGCCAAGGTTTATGCAAACGCACGAACCAATTTCAGTAACAAAATGTTAACAAGCAAATACAGTAAATAAAATTAAAATACAAACACACACAAACAACTTAAAATTTATAACTAAATTACTAAATTAATTGATGTACATAAAGGGGAAAAAAATTGAAGCGGCAAATATAATTAAAGCAAAAAGCAGCAAAAAAAAATTAAATATAAATTCTGCAACGAAATAATTTCTTGGAAGCGCTTTTATTACTGCGAGTATTTATGTTTGGGCGCATGCGTATTGAAACTCATTTAGAACACCGATTTTTTTTCTGGTGCTATTCCGTACCAAATTTGTATGCTTTATTTATTTCTGTATGTCATGATTGTGAGTTTTACAAAGTTTTTAATATGCTCCGAAATTTGTAAGTGTTACATTTATTTTCGCACTATTCTTTGTATGAACTAAGTAAGTAACTATCGATAAGATTTTCGGTAGTTTTCTTTTGGCAGCTTAACTGAGTCAATATTCAATGACATTTTCTTTTTACAAATATTGACTTAAATTGTTTGCGTGTATTTGTGCTGTAACTGTAATTGGTTCTTACGTTTAACACATATGTACATATACATATACATATATATACATCATAACAAATGACAATTTTCAAAAGCTTACACCACTTACATACAAAACAAAATGACACATTTAAGAATGCAGTTTAAAAGAATAAATTCAAAACATGTTAAAAGTTTTGGGCTTAATTAGAAAATAATTGCTAATTTAAGATTTTCAGCGCATCCTTCTTGACTAACTTTCACGCTTTGCTATTCTTAGATATTTTTTCTTAGAAAATTTTCACTTCTAAAAGTTTGTTTGTAAAGTTTTTAATCTACCTTTATGGCGAAGCTGCCGTTGGGTATGTCCTTTCCGCCGAATTTCACATTGATATCATAATCGCCTGGATCCTTGAGCGCATAGTAAATATCGAAGAAGCCATCCTTCTCCAAGATATCAATATCAACGATTTCGCTATGGTCAAAATATGTACATACATACATTATAGGCAAACTACACATTTCTATTAATCCTCGTCTCAGGTACTTACCGTCCGGACTTGTGATCTGTAATCTTGCACGTCACCGCGCCGTCGCCTGCGTCACGCGCGTCCACAGTCAAGTGGCTTTTGCTGCCAGATGCTTGTATTTTCGGCGCCTTCTCGACTAGCTTACATTTTTTCGCCTCACCCGTGGGGAATGCTTCGAGTTTGAATGGCGATCCCTCAATATCCTTATCGCCATACTTAATGCTGACATGATAGGTGCCACATTCATCGGGAACGAATGAAACCACATATGTGCCGCTACCGACCTCTTCCAAGCGTGGCGCCAACTTTTTACCCTTCGGGTTCTTGATCGCAATATTGATGTCATCTTGACCGGCTGTTTTTGTGTCGATCTCGAATTCGGCTGGTAGTGAGGCGGGTGTTTTCTTTTTCTCATTGACGCCCTTAACTTTCACTTTGGTCGCCTCTGATTTGGGGAATACGGTCATCACGAATGGGCTATATGCAATTAATAAAATTAGTTCCATTTATATAGATACATATATGTAGATTTCAACAATATCAACGTTACCTGCATGGCACTTCTTCGTCGGCAAACATAACTTGGCACGTTAGCACCGAGCCCTGCTTTGGTGGTACATAGTGCACAGCATATATGCCATTACCCTTATCCTCAACGTGCAGATTATCCACTGGCACACCTTCTGAGTTGGTCAACTTAACCGCTATGCGGCCGGGCCCAGCTTCGGCGACGTCTACATTGAAATACGTTGGTACACTTTCGCGCACTTCACCATGCTCAATGCCGGGTCCGTATACTTTCACCTTGCGCGGATCTACTGTCTCTTCGACCAGCACGCGGAATGGTGAGCCAGGTATGTGCTTGTCTGCAAATCGTATTGTTATATCGTACTCGCCGGGGTCTGTGGCTAAATACTCGACATCGCAACTACCATCACGATTATCTGTGCAGGTCATTTTTGCTTCGGATGGTCCTTCAATGGCCAGTGAGAGTCCGCCATTGCCGGCACCGCGTGTCTCTACAGTGAATTTATTTTGCTGATTGGTCAGACCCTTCTCCAGTCCAGGGCCGTAAGCTTTGCAACGCGAGGGATCACAACCACTCTTTACATGCACCACAAACGGCGAACCGGGTACGGGAATGTTGTCGTAAAGCAACTCAATGGTGTGACGACCGGCCTCGAAGGGAGTGTAGGCAATGCGGAAGATATCATCAGAAGGTCCGGAAACGATCTTGCTAGGCAGCACTTTACCCTTGGGGTCAAAGATGGCACAAGAGAGTTTTGTCGAGTCGATGTTGCTGCCAACTTTGCTCATATCGACCATAAAGTCCGTGGGGGCATTCATGATGACGCCTGTTAAGTGAAAGAAGCGAGAGTCAAATGGTTGCTTATTGAATGAGTAAGCTTAGAAACGCGGAATTGCAATGCAAAAAAATAACAAGTAAACGCGATTAGTGTAGAAGTGAAAATAGCGGCGTTTACCCACCAAGCTACGCAAAAATCAACGGTACTGCGATCTCATGAAAGTTTTTAAAGATGACGTTGGAATTTTTGTGTAGCTTCGGTAGTAAACGAAATAAGATTCAGTACGACCCAAATACTTTTTTCGAACAGAATTGGTACAAAGTTTAGCAAGAATTTTGCTATGTGTTCGAACGCCCATAGATTGCATATCAGTTCTCGGGGGCTTACATGCTTTCAAAACAATTATTTAAAGTTACTGTTAGATTTGTTATTAGTTGCAAATAAGGAACGAACATAATAAACGCTTAGACTAAGAAAACTGGTGTGGCTTAGAGGACCAGTTGCTATGGCACACAAAAGCAGTTGGTTAATTTGGTAGGCATTTTTTTTAAATATCGGTTTCATAAAGTTCAACATTGCGTTGACCATTTTGCTGATCGTACTTGTTTGAGTCACGCATGCGCTTGCGGGTTGGCTGACAACAGTAACGGCGAAGCATCAGGAATACATCGAAAGAAAACAGTTCGATGCCTTGTAAATTTGTATATCCTACCATGTGGCTGTATGCCTATGCCACTGACGCGTGTGTTACTCAAGTTGGGCAGTGGCATTATGACCGGCTGGAATGGTGAACCGTTAATGTGGCGTTCGTTGAATGTAATATTCACTGTATAATCGCCAGCTTCGGTGGGCAGGTAAGCCACATTGCATGTGCCATCGCCATTGTCCCGACAGTTGATAGCTGCTTCACAGGGACCCTCCACGGTTACGCCCAATCCACCCTGACCCGCGCCACGTGTATCAATTATAAACTCTGCTGGTTGTGCGACTAATCCCCGTTCTAGTCCAGGTCCAAACGCACGCACTTTATTTGAATCACTGCCACTGAGACATTGCAAACGGAATGGTCGCGGCGCGATCGGTGTGCCACCGAAGCATATGCTCAAGAGGTATTCGCCCAATTGTGTGGGCGTAAAATTGACCAGAAATCCTTCGGCGGTTGGTATGACGTGCGCGCGTATGCGACTCCCGGACGGACTGGTAATGGTGACTGCAAGATCCGCTTTCGGCAGACCACGCGTAATGATGCGGAACTGCTGGAGGCTATTCAATGGTGCAGCTTGTACGTGAATGAGTTTGTAACGAAAGTTTTTGGGCTTAGATGATGACCTTGTATTGTACTTGTAAGTTGTTGTATACTATGTTTTAAATTGACTGAACCATTTCTTTTTTGGTGGTAGACAATTTAACTCAGATATGCATTGGTGAAAATGAGAGAACGAAAGAAAAACGAAAAAAAAACGCTGGTACTTACTTGGTTCGAGCCCGTCGACTTTGATTTTGGATACATCCAACGACTGTTCCACCAGCACTTTCTGCCCGAGTGGCACTGGCTGTCCGCCATAAGTCATGGTGGTTGTGTAGGCGCCTTTGGTAGGTGGAATAACCTCCACTGTGTATGTGTTGTCCTCGTTGTCGATGATACGACATGGCACTTCCACTTTAGTCTCCTCGTGTACGATCTTCACCTTCAGCTCTGCGTCACCAGCATCTCGTGCGTCCACATTGAAATGTGTGGCTGCATTGGGACGTACTCCAGGCTGCAGCCAGGGACCAAATGCTTGAACTTTGTTGGCATCGATTGGTACGCCTACGTAGATACGATACGGTGCATTGGGAGTGGCCACACTACCGTAGTTGACTGAGAGAGGAATATGTTTACGTCAAATAAAAGTTTAAAAGCACATTTGAAATATTGTACCCACCTTCCACCGTATGGGGTACGCCTGTAGTTGGCGTATATGTACAAGTCTTTGTACCATCGGCGTTATTTTTGATATCTACTGGTAGTTTCTTTCCATACACATCCTCGACAAGAACTTCCAAAGGTGCTGATCCTGCCTTGCTAGTGTCTACTGTAAAGCTCTGCGGTTTTCCAATTGTCACGCCATTTTTCTCCAATCCAGGACCATATGTCTTCACCAGCTCAGGGTGGAAGTCTGTGCGCGGCAATATTTGCGCTATGAATGGTGACTTGGGTATGTCTTCATTATCACACAAAATATGCACTGCATATTCCCCTACAGCGGTCGGATGGTATTTGACCAATGCAGAACCATCACCGTTATCATGGCACTCGATCTCTGCTTGCGATGGACCTGCAACAGTAAAGCCGAGTGCGCCAGTCTCACCATTGGTTTCCACGACAAAAGCAGCAGGATAGCCAATAATACCGCCACTTAAACCGGGGCCGTAAGCGACAATTGAAGACTCCTTCTTAGGGCCAACTTTAATCTCGAACGGTGACTTGGGCACCTCTTGACCGCCAAAAGTGACCATAGCAACATACCGACCCTCCTTAGTTGGATAATAATGACACTCGTAGGTGGTGCCATCGATTTTGGTCAAAGCAACATTTTGCGTAGTGCCGCCTGGGCCAATTACACGAACTTCAGGTACGCCTTCGCCTGCACCTTCCGTGTAGATCTTGAAGTCGGCATCATCACCCACACGAACGCCATTCGCTTGCAGACCGCGACCTGAAGCACGTACCTTACGTGCATCCGACAGAGGTGCTACCTTTACCGGGAAGGGGCTATTCGGTATGGGATTGCCGGCATAGAAGACATTCACCGAATGCAGACCTTGTGTCGAAGCAACATATTCACAACGCCAAACATCGTTCTCCAATTGACGTACTTTGGCCGCTACAGATGTCTTATGATTGGCGGGATCAATAATGATCACTTCGGGTACGCCGCGACCAGCCTCCTTTGCGTTAATGTCGAAGAAAGTGGGTTTGGTGAGTGTAACACCAGACGGCTGTATACCGGGACCAGTGACTTTGACCTTAGATGCGTCACCGGCATGTCCCTCCACCTTAACAGGGAACGGACTCTTCGGTATGTCACGACCGGAGAACTTCACAACCACTTTGTGCTCGCCCTCAGCTTTGGGAATATACGAAATGGAGTATGTCAAGTTTTTGTCGTTGTTGAAGCGTACATCGGCCTTCTCGATTTGCCCTGAGGGCGAAATGATGTCCACATCAACAGCACCTGAGGATGTAATTCAGTTGGAAAAATTACATTTATGTATTTAGTTTTAAGTTACATATACATATATTTATGTCTGTGTGTACATTTTACCTTTGCCTGCGGAGAATGTCTCTACTGTAAAGTTGGCTGGTGCACCTACAACAGGACCAATTGGTTCAATACCCGGGCCATAAGCACGTACTCTGTTTAAAAATAATAAGAAGCTTAATTTGGTGCTGATCAAAATTAATATAATGGATTTTATTGTAGTTATTGTTGTAATTTAACACACAACTTTTTACGGTTAAGAATACAACTGCAAAGCAAGCAATAGATAGCTGCTGAGGTTTTAGCTAGCGGTTTTAAAGTTTTCTAAAATGTTATAAAACCAGAAATTAATCAAAAAAACGATCTACCATGTGCGTTGATCCTTTTTTTTTTNGGTTTTAAAGTTTTCTAAAATGTTATAAAACCAGAAATTAATCAAAAAAAACGATCTAACCATGTGCGTTGATCCTTTTTTTTTTAAAGATTTGTTTGTGCTGTACAGCATTTATATTTTATGTAAGGTGTGTTACCCAGTGGGAATTAGGAGCACGTAATAATACCTTATTAGCAACTTACTCTTCACCTGGCAGTCATTACCATTTCCCTGCCGAACGTCCCTTACTTTTACAAAGGCATGGCCGCCTTTTGTAAGTAGGAATTTAGAATGTACATTTGGTATCAGACATACTTCTGAGCCGCTATACAAAGTAAGTTACGTGTAATGCAGAGCAGTCGCTCGGAGTAGTTCGGTGCTTGGAAATAACTTCGGCTGCACGTTATTTTGCAACTGACAACGTAATGTGTCTTCGGAGGTGTTCATTTTGCCCTTTACTAGTAGATGACATTAGCCATGATGACAATTTTGGTACTAAAAACTGAAAGAAAACATGGCTTACCTCGGAAGGTGCTTACCTATTTTCCCAGTGGGTTATTTAAAAATTTACACACATATCTATGTATGTATGTGCATTAGTTTAATTGCATTTCCTTTATTTCTCTGTTAGTTCACCGCCCTATGTTGATTGAGTAGCGAATTTGTAGCAATAGGTTTGTTCGTCCAAAATCCAGCAAGAATTATCCAACACTCAAAATATCAGAGAGTAAGAAAAAATTCTCTCAAATTCTCTCTCATGTTGAGAAACTTGCAAATTTCTGCACGAACGCAAGTTTGCAGGAATTTGCAAGTTTCCCTGCCAGCTGGCGTTCACGGTTGCATTCAAACATAAAAAATTTTTATAGAATTTTTAAAATTCT